AGCAGAAAGCCTCATCTTTCTCCCATGGAACCACTGGTAGTTTCGAACTGTTGACCTTGAGGTTAGCAGTCTGACTTGTAACTACTATGTGCTGCTATCCTAGGTTTCCCATACTCTGCTCCTACCATTGAAAACTGCTTTGAGCAATTCTGCCCCCTGGTGGCAATTTTGATTATGACTCAGACTAGGCCGGCTACTTCCCAAGAGGGAAACCCTACACAGGGTCGCAATGGGTGGGAACCCAGTCTATGACACTTAACAACAAAACAACAAATCATTTTGTCCATCCTCCTGAGTCTAGGAGAGCATACTAAGGGGGATTCTACCCTTTCCCCAACCTTATTGTTCCTGATTCCTGTTACTTTCTATTCATGACTAATTTATTTTTCTGAGGCCTAACTCTCCACTGTGGTTACGAATCAGGCTGCGAACCTCAGGGTCAGCAGTTCAAAACTACCAGCTGTTCCGCGGGAGAAAGATGAGGCTTTCTGCTCCCGTAAAGATTTACAGCCTCGGAAACCCTGTACAGGGTCGCTATGGGTCGGAATCGACTCCACGGCACATCACAACAACAACAACAACTTTCCACTGTAGGATAAACATTGACAGCAAGGTCGGTTTGGACCTCAAGGTCAGCGGTTCAAACTCACCAGGGAGCCCTATTAGAGTCTCTATGAGTTGGAATCCACTTGATGGCACTTATCAACAATCTTTCCTTCCCATCATTTCGCTGTCTATTTAAATTTAAAAACAACAACAACAAAAACAATACTGTGCTTGGGAATTCTGGTGTGATGCTGAAGGGTAAGCACTAGATTGCTAACCACAAGGTTATTGGGTCAAACCCACTAACCCTCTACAGAGGTGCTATGAATTAGAACTGATTCAATGGAACTTAACAACAAGAATGTATCAGCGGGCTTCAAGAAGTTACTGGAAAAACTGAGTGGAGCCACAATAAAATTTTCCCATGAACTTTTTGAAGCCCCCTCCTACTGAAATAATAAGAAATACAAGAAAAATCTGTCTCCTGATCCCATTCCTAAAAACCAAATCAGCATTTTCATTTATTACTGTGGGACCTCTCTCCTTCTAGTTTTTGTCTATAGAATATTCTATTTTACATAAACCATAAACTATGGGGGGAGGGCTTCAAAAAGTTCATATAAAAATGGAATGAAAAGACAATAGAATTTTTTCATGAACTTTTTGAAGCCCTGCCCCTCCCTTGGGTTACATGGCTGCTCAAAAGCATTAATATATTGATTTATTGTCAGTTCTTATGTGTGAGAGACTGGATAGAATACTGACGAACACTGAGAAAATATCCGCTTGTGTGGAGCTTAGGATCTCGTGAGATACCAGACAATAAAAAGACAGATAAGATGTCAAGTGGGCAGCATACAGGTGGTACCAAGTTCTATCGAGAAAAATAGATCTAGAGAGGAAAGGTAACATTTTAATTAAATCTGAAGGAGATGAGGGAGTGAGTCATGAGGGTATGGGGCATGGGGAATGATTTCAGGTAGCCAAAACAGCAGGTGCAAAGGTCCTGGGGCAAGAGAGTGTCTGATGTGTTCAAGAGACAGCAGAAGGCCAACATGGCTACAGCCTAGCCAATGGAGTGGAGAGAGACAGGAGGTGGGTTGACCACACAGGGCTAGGTAGGTCCTTGTAAAGACTTCACTATTACTGTGGATGAGCTGAGAGTGATTTGGGGGATTTGACTCGAGGAAGGGCATGACTTAACATCATATTAAAAACCCTCCCTCTGAGTAGACTGCAAGGGAACAAGTGAGAAAGGGAGAGGTCACTGGGATGATACAGGTGAGGGAGCTGCCAACTGGCCAGGGGCTGGATTCTGTACTTTTCGATAAATCATGCTTGTGATAGATTCTTAAGCAGACAACTAAGAGCAAAAAATGTAAACCCTTATTTCGTAAAATGTATTGGAATCCCTGCTCTCAAATGCCTCTTATATAGATAGTACACATTTGTGTGATTGTAAGTAGCTACATGTGCAGGAAACAGTGGGCAGAGCCGAGTATTAGAAGTTATTCTGATTTTTGATGAGTTACCATTTAATGGTCCAGGCCTCGACTGCCTCCTCTGTGACATGGGGTGTCACAGGGTCCCCTGCATGCCCAGGTGGCTGTTTATAATATCTTCTCCCACAGTTCAGGGACTCCAGTCCCTGCCCTCTTATTTCCTGCTCTCGGTGTCCCCTCCATCTTTCCATGCCAGCCCTTCCCTCTGCTGAGCAGGGGTTTGAAGATGCCCAACCCTCTCTTCAGAAACTGGCTGGGAGGAGAGCCGATGTTCCACCCTCACTCTGTTCACCATGGTTCTCAAACTTTGCCTGGGCAAGAATCAACTGAGATGTTTGACAAAATGCAGATTTGGAGGTGGGGGTGGTAAACGCCCCCAAATGAAGAAGCTTCCTGAGCCACACCCTGAAAGACCTTGAGATGTGGAGGTTGTTTGCACCTAGGAGCCTTCAGTTTAAATGAGCACCAGCCCCTGTCAGAATTGGCTCCAGATGCTACATTTTGGGAAACATTGGATTGAGGGAGAGGAAGGCTAGCTCACCTTTTGAGCAAAAGGCTGTGTGGCAACCTCTCTGAATCCTGGGAGGTGAAATGAGGGTCTTGTTTCCCTTTGGCAAAAGGAGCTTCCAGGATGTTCTGAGATAATGGTCAGAACATGCTTCTAGGAGCACCTGGAGGCTGTACGTGGGGAACATAACCTGCAACCCCCTGTCTTGAATAGTCCCGTGACACCTGACCTGTGGTGTGCCATCCCCATCTCCTCCTGGGGAGTTTTCCCACCACACCCCCAGACTTGACTTGGGTTTGGAACTGCTGGGATTGGAACCAGGGCACTGTGATCCAGGCTAAGTCACTTTGGCTCTCTGAGCCTCAGCTTCCCCATCTGGGAAATGGGGACAAAAGAGAGTAGTCATGAGGCTTGGGTGGCGATGCACACAAAGTGCCTGCTTGGTCCCAGCCCGCAGCAGCCATGTATTGACAGCCTGTGCTCTCCTCCCTGACCAGGTCTCCGGGGAGGCGGATGAACAAGGTGGTCCGCAACTTCCTGCAGGCCCAGCAAGTCCAGGCGCCTGTGGAGCTTTATTCGGACTGGCTCTCTGTGGGCCACGTGGATGAGTTCCTGAGCTTTGTACCCACCGCTGACCAAAAGGTGCGTCCCCCACCCCTCCTGGCTGAGCCACCTCTGCTCCTGCCCAACCTGATGGGCCAGGACAGGTCAAAGTCACCTGGAAACAACTCAACCCTGTGTCTAGAGTTTGCTTAGGATCAGGGCAGCGTTGAAACCATGCTGCTGGACTAGACATTTTCCAGACTTAAACCCCTCAACCAAGAGCCACGAATAGTCCTGATGATAATTTACTGAATCAAAGGAGCTCTGGTAGCGTAGTGGTTATGAATCGGGCTGCGAACCGCAAAGTCAGCAGTTCAAAACTACCAGCTGTTCTGCAGGAGAAAGATGAGGCTTTCTGCTCCCGTAAAGATTTACAGCCTCAGAAACCCTGTACAGGGTCGCTATGAGTCAGAACCAACTCCATAGCACATAACAACAACAACCATGTACCACACGTTTTAATTTATTAGCCCATTTGGTAGAAACTGTTATCATTGTTCCCATTTTACAGATGAGGAAACTAAGGCTCAGAACAATGAACTCATTAGAGGTCACATAGCCTGTAGGTGGCAGAATAGGATTCAAACCGAGACAGTGGGTCTCATACTGACCACTGGACTGTGGCCTGCTAGGCAGGTCTTCCCATGAGCAGGAGATTACAGCCCAGTGTGGTAAGAACTCCGACAGAGGCAGATACAGGGTGCAGCTAAGCCAGATGCAAAGGAGTTGTCCCCTCTGCCAGTGAAGGAGACCCCTAAACTGGTCTTGAAGGGAGAAACTGGAGTTCCCTGGTGGTCAGGGTGAGGAAGGGCACTTGAGCAGGGAGAAGAGCACATAGGAAAGGTATGAGCCAGCCTGGAGAACTGGGGGAGTTGCAGACATGTGATTGGGCATGGGGAACCCCATTAATGGCCTGGCTTCTGAGCTCAGACCTTTCCTGAGCTTGGGGTCTCCTTCGTCTAGGGGGAGCCTGCCCCTGAGCCGATTCTCCCTCCCTCTGTGCCAGGGTTTCCGGTTGCTCCTGGCTAGCCCTAGCGCCTGCCTCAAGCTGTTCCAGGAGAAGAGAGAGGAGGGCTTCGGGCAGGCGGCCCAGTTCGATGGTGAGTGTTTGGACCCTATTCACTCACTTCTTCGCAGCCTAGGCACTTAAGTCTTCATTCTGTGGACCCTCCGCCCGATGGACCAGTCATTGCTGACTCCTAAGGCCCTCACGTGGGAGCTAAGCTTTACCTTTCTAGGATCGGGAATGGGAATCTCCAAGAACACTGCAAGGGCTGGTGAGCCACACCCCAGGAGAAGAAAGAATCAGGAAGAAATGAATGCTCTGGTTGGGTTTGCCCCGTTTGTGCCACCTACTTTCTTGTTCTTGTCCCTGTCTGATCTCCCCACCACCCACGTCTTATCTCTTTTCATAAAATTAATGTTAAATTAATGATTCAAGATAAATTGAAGATTGATTACGGTGCCCAGAGCATTTAGTAATGGCTGTACTGTAATTATTAGGGGCGTTCTGGTGTGGCGCTGTAGGATAAGCACTGGACAGCAAGGTCCATTTGAACCGAAAGGTCGGTGGTTCAAATTCACCTATACAGGGTTGCTCTGAGTTGGAAAGGACTTGACGGCACTTAACATCAATAATTATTAGGAAAGCGCGGTGGCTTTGTAGGATAAGCACACTGTAGGATCAGTCCCTTTCCAATATGGTGGGGGAGGTCTTTGATCCATTACCAGGTTTTTCTAGTAACCACAGGCTGTTCCCATAAAGGTTCCCAGCTTCTGGCTTTCTTCCTCCCGCTTCAGACCTTGACACAGGTGGGAGGAAAATCCTGGTCTGGATTAATGTTGTTGTTAAGTGCCATTGAGTTGGTTCTGACTCATAGCGACCCTGTATAGGGTTTCTGAGGCTTTTAAAATCTTTGCAGGAACAGAAAACCTCATGTTTCTCCTGCAGAGTGGCTGGTGGGCTTGGACCACTTGAACCTTATGGTTCACAGTCTACTGTTTACCGTATTTACTGTTTCTGGTTTTGTTGTTGTTAAGTGCTGTTGAGTTGGTTTTGATTCATAGTGTATAGAGTTTCTGAGGAGCAACTGGTGGGTTTGAACTGTTGACCTTGTGTTGTGAAGTCCAGTGTTGATCCTGCAGCTCCACACTAGGAGTCCTATACAGCCCTAAACCCATGATGGCCCTGGGCAGTCCTCCCTGACTCTTGTAATCTCTTTGATTCTCTTACAGGGTTGAAATATAAGAAGAATAGAAGCATTGATGAGATGCTAGAGGATAAACGTCTCCGGAATGACAGTCTTTATGTACAGGTGAGGGTTGGGACGCAGAGAAGCAGGCCCAGAAACTACAGGGCTGAGGAGACTTGGTTGTAGGCTTCTGGAAAACTGGGGGGATTTATGGGTCTGATGGAAGAGACCCAGAATGCCCTCAGGACCTCCTAGATTGATGAAAGAGACGCTGGTGCAGTTCCGGGGAGTGGCTGATTCCCATGGAATCAGAACTGCATTCTCATGATTAGAGATCCGTGTTTAGGGGATGGGTGAGGGAGTCATTGAGGGCCTTCTGAAGAGAAGGGTGAACAGGGGTATCAGGAAAGCTTGCCACAAGGCTATGCTTGTGTTCCTAGTTCAAAGCCTGGGTGCTCAGTAAATGGGCAGAGTGTCCTCCAGTCCCTTTCCTAGACTGCTGAGATGAACCAGGAGCATCAACCATACTGTGCCTTTGTCTGGGACAGTGGAGTATAGTGACAAGGGCTTTTGGGATCCAAAATTATCCAGATTCAAATCCAACTCCGCATTTCTAGCTCTGTGTCCCTGGGCAGTTCCCTTGAGCCTCAGTTTCCCCCATGAAGACCTAGTAATGGTGCCTATGGCACAAGGTTGGTGTGACGACCAAAAGAGCTAGTGGGGGCAGAGGGCTCTGCACAGATCTAGAGCACAGTAGGTGTCTTCCTTGTCTGTCCGGTGGGCTCCGGCTGCCTGTCCTTCTGTCCTCAGAAATGCATCGACTGGAACCGCGAGGTGCTAAAGCGGGAGCTAGGCCTGACGGAACATGACATCATCGACATACCCCAACTCTTTGTTCTGAAGGATTCCTACGCAGAAGCCTTCTTCCCGGACATGGTGAGAGCCTGCTTCCTGCTCCTTGGGGGTCATCTGGGGTTCCAGAGGAGAGCTACTCCCTGCCCAAGGACAGACTAGATCTTGCCCCCAACCCCCACCCCACAACTCACCCATGTTCTTTGCCATTTTGTTTTTATGCCAGCAGAATATTTCCATAGTCTCTGGGTGGCACAAGCAGTTTGTGCTCCATTGCTAACCTAAAGGTTGATAGTTCATACGTGCCCAGCAACACTATGTAAGGATGGTCTGGCGGTATGCTTCCGTAAAGATTGTCGCTGTTGTGCCATTGAGTTGGTACCGACTCATAGTAACATTGCACAGGGTTTCCAAGAGCAGCTGGTGGGTTTGAACTGCCCACCTAGCAGTTAGTAGTCCAGTGTTTATCCTACAATACCACACCAGTTACAGTGGAGCACAATACTGCTCTAACACAAGGGATCGTCGCGAGTTGGAAAAGGCTTGGCAACAGCTAAAAACAAAAGCATATTTCTAATATCACAGAAGATTCGAATCAATACCATTGCCAACGAGCAATGATTTTCAACCAGGGGCGATTCCTCCCCTCTCCTCTCCAGGGCAAGGAGCTCTGGTAGCTCAGTGGTTACAAATTGGCTTGCTAACTTCAAGGTCAGCAGTTCGAAACTACCAGTAGTTCCACAGGAGAAAGATGAGGCTTTCTGCTCCCGTAAAGATTTACAGCCCCAGAAATCCTGTACAGGGTCACTACGAGTTGAAATTGACTCCACAGCACATAACCTCCTCCTCTTTTCCAGGGCATTTTGAATGTTGCAACAAGTAGGGGTTCTACTGGTATTTAGTGGGTAGAGGCCAGAGATGCTGTTAAATATACCATAGTGCACATGATAACCCCCTCACAACAAAGGGCTTTCCTCTGCCCCCCACCTCCCCTCACATACACATACACCAACTGGGTAAAGAAAGCATGATTTGGTCCCTAATGCTTCATCTTTTGTTTGTGGGTCTCACCTGCCTGCTCTGCTCTCCTTTCTGTTCCCCAACGGGGCTTCTGAGTGGGGCAGGCAGGGTAGGCGGAGCTGCTGCTGCAAGTGGCTCTCATTAACTCAGGACAGCTGACTCAGAGATGAGGCTGGGTGATGATGTCATCTCACCTGGGAGGGGCCTGAGAGATGTTATCAGCCAAGTCCTGGTCAAAGTGTCCATTAAGCCCTTGGGAAAGGAAGTTGGGGTGTTAGTAGCTATGCAGGGTGGTCCCCCAGGATGGAAGAGAGATTCTTCTTTTTCATTCTGGGACCTTTAGCTGAAATCCTTCTTTTTGGACAGTCTCGGGGTTTGGAATGGGTTCTGGGTCCCACTCCTTATTGTGGGCTCCTGGCAGAGACTCCTAATGCAGATTCTCAGCCTCATCACCACTGACATTGAGGCTAAGTAATTCTCTGTTGTGGAGGCTGACTGGCTGAGCGTTGTGAGACGTTAAGCCTGGCCTCTACTAACAGACGCCAGGAGCATGCCCTTGTCATGACAGTCAAACTTGCCCCTGTCTGAGGTCCTCTACTCTAAGGTCACGGTGCCCATGAGGACCTTCTGTGGGGAGGGGTTGTTCCTTCTGTGTGCAATATCATATGGTAGCCGCGGAACCACACGTGCTGCTAAGCGCTTGAAACATGGCCACTGTGGCTGAGGAATGAAATGTTTAATTAATTTAATTCTTCCTTTTAAGAGTCATATATGGATGGTAATAACTATTGGATGGGGCTACTTGGCCCTGGTTCTGGATGGAAGGGTAGGGGAAGGCCTAGTTTGGAGCCCATGACCCGAGGCAGTTCCCTTTGGGCTACAGCCTTGTGTCTACTTTCTGGAAGGCCCTTCCTTAACTCGGTCTGTCTCTAGGACTCTCCTCATATAGGCCCTGCTAGATGATCCCAGCATGTCCTCACTGGAAGGGCCCTTGACTGTCAGTGGGGAAACTGAGGACCACAGAGAGAATGTGTGTGACTTGCCTAGAGTAGAGTTGGACCTAGACCTCGAGCTCTCAATCTCTCTCACTCAGGGGGCATCAGAAGCCAGACTGGCTGTGGTCCTGAATCCTTGATCATCCTCCTGCCTGCCCACCTCAAACCCCTAAAGTGTGTTCTGGCTTATCAGTGGGCAAACAGGCAGCTCAGGGCCAAGGCAGTGGGATTAATCCAAAGAGACCCTCCAGTTTCGTGTTGGTCTTAGGCATGGATGGCCCTGTAGGACAGACTTGGGAGGACAGACACAGGGAGTACAAGGCAACTTTCTCCCACCTCGAGAGAACCCAAGACTACCCATAGAGTCCCCTTTGAACTCAAAGGACAGTTCTTTGTGATCTCTGATCATCAAGTTGGGGCTGAAATTTCCTCCAAGAAACCTTCCTCCAAGAGACCTTCCTCATAGTTAGAACCTCAAGTCAGGTCCGTAACTGTGAATGTCAGAAGTGCTATCAAGGTCAACTCAGGTGCCTAGGCTCCTAGCCTCTTGCAACACTCCTCAGCTTCCCAGGAGGCCCTCATGCTAGACTTGGGTAGACTGTAAAGAACATGATTTAGGATATGAGTCAGACCCAAGTACAAAATTTAATCTCACTGTTCTCTGGCTGATGCCCTTGATTATGTTACTTAACTCTGTCTAACCACAGTCTCAGAGGGAGACTGGAAGGTTTAGTGATGACATAGTTGGCACATAGATGATGCTCAGTACATGGGAACAGTGATCAGGGTTAACAGGGACTGTTGAGTAAGCTGTGTACTAAACAAGGGCATACACCTATGAAGATACTCATAGTGTAGACCTTGAAGATGTGTGCATTTATTTTACTAGTGTCTGTCATCATTGTTGCTAAGTGCCTTTGAGTCGATTCTGACCCATAGCGACCCTGTATAGGGTTTCTGAGGAGCAGCTGGTGAGCTTGAACTACCAACCTTGCAGTTCAAATGGCTTTTCAGTCTGGCGCATTAAACCACAGCGCCACACCAGGACTCCTTACTAGTGTCTAGCAGGTGATAAATAGTAAGTGCTCTTGTTCTAACAAGGTTGTTATCATATGAAAATTCTGGGAGATGGAAGAACATCCCAGAGGAAGGGATGACACTTTAACTCATGCAAAGTTACCATGTCGGTTGCTGGCAGCCCTGATGTTCTTAATCCTCCCTTCCAACTAGGAGACTTTTTCTTCTCTACTTCTCTAGACCCTAATTTTTGAGGTGCCCCAGGATGCTGGCAAGGGTAAGAGAGACTCCTGGGATGGTCGAACAGAGTCAGAGTCCAGAGGGACCCCAGGTGTAGTGTCTCCAGTGCCTGAGCCTTCCTCTTTCTTTCTCTTTTCTCTAGGTCAACATGGTGGTCTTGGGCAAGTACTTGGGCATCCCCAAGCCCTTTGGGCCCATCATCAATGGCCAGTGTTGTCTGGAGGAGACGGTGCGGGCCTTGCTAGAACCACTGGGCCTCCACTGCATCTTCATCGATGACTACTTGTCCTACCATGAACTGCTTGGGGAGATCCACTGTGGCACCAACGTGCGCCGGAAGCCCTTTCCCTTTAAGTGGTGGAACGTGGTGCCTTGAGCCTGCCCCCACCCCCACACCAGCCATCCTCTCTGCCCACCTGCTGGGGAACCCCAACAAGGTGAAGGCAAGGGATCTTTACCTGACCTTCATCCACTTGGGGGAGCTTTGTGCACTCCCCACCTCCATGCCTGCAAACGTGCTGGTCACTGGGCATTAGGGGACAAGAAGGGAGAGACGATGTCCCACCATCTGGAGGGGCCTACCCAACTCAGGATGGACTGACCTCACTCTTCGTTTGCCTTGTCCCTGTCCATGATCCCCAGAGGTACCTGGAAAGTTCAAAAGCTTTAACACATTCAAGGATGGCCGTGAGTGACCTCAGCGGAGGAACACCACTTAGGATTGTTGCTGTTAGCTGCTATCCAAGTCAGCGCTGACTCCTGGTGATTTTATGTCTAACAGTATGGAATGTAACTGATTCTGTGGCATCTGCATGATCGTTGGCATGGTGTTTGAGTCCATTGTTCCAGCTGTTGAGTCAGTCCAGCTCATGAGGGGGTGTCCTTCTTTCTACGGACCCTCCACTTTACCAAGCATGATGTCCTTCTCCAGCGATCATTCCCTTCCAATGATGGGGCCAAAGGAAGCGAGTCAAAGTCTCACCACCCTCCCTTCTAAGGAGGGTCTCACTGTAGTTCTTCTAAAGCTGATTTGTTTGTTCACCCGGCAGTCTGTGGCATATTCATTATTATTCGCCAACACCACAATTTGAAGGCATCGATCTTTCTCTGTCTTCCTTTTTCATTGTCCAATTTTTGCATGCATGGAAGGTGGTTGAAAAGGCCAGGTTTGGATCAGGCACATCTTAGTCATCAAAGTGACATCCACGTAGGATTGCCCCCTCTAGTCTGACACCTTCCTTGGGCTCAGGGATAATGATTTCATATTTGCATCAAGAATGGGGTACAAAGGATCTGATTCTGGAGCGAGGGACCCAGTCTCCAGAAAGAGATATCCAAGGCATCCTCTTTTCTCTACCAATTGATTGTCTTCTCCCAAAGGGGAACCTAGGTTATGAACATCCAGTACCCACCCCTGCCCCCCAGCCACACACAGGCAAACGTAGTGTCTGAGGGCCTGTTTTTAAAAAAAGAAAAAGCCAACAGAAACCCTTTAATAGCTGACTCCATCCTCAGAAGGGCACTTGTTACTGTTGGAAAGCCTCTAATTATGAGTGCTCACTTCTTCCGGTTCCCAAACTGCTGAGAGGACAGTATACGTGCTTTGGAGGAAACACAGGGCACACAGGCCGCTAACAGAGAGGACTGAAGGGCAAATGATGGAACTCGGGGCCAGGAGGCCTCTGTGACCTGGGTTGTAGACCTGGGACTCTGGATTCCAAGTGAACTGCTGTCTCTGTCTCCGATATAACAGGAAGTGGGGGCCCAGATGTTGGGAGAAGGTGGGAGGGGGGGAAGCCATTAGGTTATCTTGAAAGGTGGGGTTTAATTTCCTCTAATAGGCCTTAATTATTCCCCTTCTGCAGGCGGTGGGAGGGAAAGGCAACTTCCTGAGGACCCTGCATGTAGCTTGAGTTTCACCTATGAGTAAACTCCCGTGGCTGGCTGGTGCCCACTTCTACAGCAAGGAAGAGGAAGCTGGCATGGAGGGGACAGGTTTAATAGCGTGACCCCAGTGAGTTCACCCACGATGTGTGTAGGCAGGCTTAACTGGGCTGCAGGGTGAGAGGTGGCCTCAGCTGGAAATAGGCTGGGAGCGCTGTGGGACCAGACTGCCCTTCACCCCAACTGCTACTGGACTGGGTCTCAGCCTGGCTGAGTTTCCTTTGGTAAGACCTCAGACTGGGCTAGTCACACTCATGGAAAACAAAGTGAACAAAGACAGTACAGAAGACACTGAGACACAGGAGATGGCTCTAGCTGAAGTCTGGAGTGGATCCCGAGAGCTTCCTCTTCTGGAGGCTCCGTGGAACCCCCTTAGCTTAAGATCATGATGCTCTTCAGGGGCCAGTGGAGTGAGCTGGGGTCAGAATCCCAAGGGTGTCATTGCAGAGAGATGGCGGAAGATGGGGAGAAACCTTCCAGAGTAACACTGGCTTGGGGAAGCTCTGGAGTCACTGGGAAGCTCAGGTGCCCTCTGAGGATGTTCTGGGTGACCAACCACCTCTTTTCTGATAAATAAAGATGTCAGCATGCATTTCTTCAAGTGGCTGACTCCTTAGCCTCTGTGGGAAGGAGAGAAAGAAAGTGAAGGGCCCTCCTTCTGATTCTGCTTCATGCCACTGCCACCGCCTTGGCTCATCTTCTGCTGACCAATGGCCATGCTCCCGCACCAGGACCAGCACCAGGCAGGCAGACTGGAGTCATCAGGATGGGGGAAGGGTGCCTGTGCCCTGCTGTCAGACTCAGGAGAGGTGACTTCATTTTAGCTGCTAAGTTACCCAGCCTCAGTGGTCTGCTTTCAAGGGCCCCAAAATATCATCCTTACAGACACACTTGCCTCTGCCTCAGACTGCACCATCGGGCCCTCACCCACTCACCTTATTTTATTTTTCCTTGTGGATTGTTGTTGTCAAGTGCCGTTGAGTCGGTTCGTAGTCACAGTGACTGACCCTGCATAGCAGGGGTGGGGAAGGTCCTGCCCATGGGACATATAAAGCCCGCGAAGTCATTTAGACTGATCCTACCAAGGCAACTGCAGTTCCAGCCATCATACTAGGGGTGTGTTAATTTAATGTTTGACCAAATATAGCAGGCTAATTTTTAAGTTGATAATTTTGTATGGCCTGTAAATGATGTTATAAATTTTGGCAGTAAAAAAATGTTTCCCACACCTGCTGTATAGAGTTCCCAAGGAGTCGCTTGGGGGGGGTTTGAACTACTAACCTTGTGGCTCACAGTCCAGCACTGACCCTATAAAGCCACACCAGGAGAAGTAAAAATGTGATGTCCATCAGTCATTGACACGTTAGTCTAAGTAGACCACAGATCTGTTTCTTAAAAAGCTGGTATTCATTGGCGAGAGATGGGAGCATGGAGGGTAAAGGACAGACAGGGCTCTGAGTGGGGGGATGGTCCTGCCTATACCTGGATCCCCCCAGTTTCAGCATCTGTTCCTCAAGCTATGTCACAAGAGAGTTAGGGAAACTCTCCAGGGTTTTCTCCTGAGTCCTAACTCTTACCAAGAATAGAGTCAGCCACCAAAGCATATTACACGAAGGATGTCATTGGATGCAGCAACCCAGCAGGTCTTCTGGAGAAAAAACTCCCAGCCCGGACCTGGTGCTGGCTAAAGTCAATGTACCAGGCCCTGAATGGGGATCCTGGGGCACAGGTGCTAGTCCCCACCCTGCCTTAGACTGTCTGCACTGCCAGGGAGAAGGGCAGAAACCTCTACTCAGCATTCACCCACCTCCGCTGACCAAGGGTGTGTCTGTCTATTATCTCTGCTGGTCTGGTGATTAGCCACATTTTCAACAGATGAGGAAACAAAGGACCAGAGAAGATGGAACAACCAGGGCCACAGCGGTGCTCCATGAAGCCTGAAACCCCAGAGTCCTCTCTGTTCCGAGTACCCGAATGTCGCCCCCTGCCTTCCCCCGCCCCCGGTCTCAATTTCCCCACCTTTCTGCTCTCATGTTCTAGGCTCCCCTGGACAGGGAGGGTTCTCATCCTCACCATTTACCCCTTCTGGAGGCTTTAGGCACAAAATAATAGTAACAACATCCAAACCAACAATAGGACAACATAGTTATTGTAACTGTCCTTCAGGGAACCGAGCAGCACAAAGCTCACTTAGCCCTGCCTCTGAAAACATACTGCAAGCAACAGGTGAGTGCTCCCCAAGTGCATCTTACTGCTGCCCCTCTGACCCACTGCATCAAGCAGGAGGCTGGGCCTGGGGATCTGCATTCTCATCAGCACCCTCAGCAGGATACAGAAGCCCTCAACAAAGCCATCTTATTTAACATCTTATTTCTGAAATTGAAGGAAAAAGGGGTGGGGAGGATGAGTGTGGAAAGTAAGGAGGGCTTGGACCAGTGCCACACATCCCTGTCTCTCCAGCCCCCGTACTATACATCCTGGCCGTGGACCTGTGGGGACTTGTTGCCTTTGGAGAGAAATTAACAACCTGGGTGATGGGGGAGGGGGCGTGGTAGTGCAACAGGTTCATATGCAAATGTAAGGTTCTTTCCAGCCAATCCTGAACTCTTAGCCATGAAAAGGGGCTGAGCTTCCAAGAGTAGAGCCAATGAGCTAGCACTCTGAGATGAAGAGGCGGGACCAGGGCCTTTTAAACCACATGCAAAGGGACCTCTAGGGCAATGTTAGGTTTGGTGGCTACAGTCTAGTCCAAGGCCAGCATGTCACCTCAGAGAATTGTGCGTGTGTCCCTGGAGCATCCTACCAGCGCCGTGTGTGTAGCTGGCGTGGAAACCCTCGTGGATGTTTATGGGTAAGAGCTTGGTTTGGTTGTCCTCTTCAAGTCTTAGTCTTAGAACAGCAGCCAATCCAGAAAGCTTTGATCCTTTCCTTTCTCAGCTTCGTTTCTTGAGGACCCAGCCAAGTCATGGGAAATGTAAAAGGCTGAAAGTGGGTTAGGAGAGAGTCGGTGTGGCTGAGCTCTGGTCCAGCAACTTGTGGGTGCTACTGCCAGGGGAGCTGTGTACAGAGGGTCCTGCAGGCTTGGCTGGGGCACCCAAGACTAGAAAGAGGTATGTATGCACCTGGCTTACAGAGCCTGAACACAGAGCTCTAATAATTTTTACAAAAATCACTTATACTTACATAGCGATTCCTATGTGGCAGGCACTATTCTAAGTACTTGACAAACATTCAGGAGCTAGGGTTTATTGTTAGCACTAGCTCATTTGATAGATGGAGTCCCTGGGTGGCTCAGTTGGTGAAGTTCTTGTCTGCTACTTGATAGGTTGGAGGTTCGAGTCTATCCAGAGGCACCTCTGAGGAAAGGTCTGATGATTTACTTCTAAAAAATCAGCCATTTGGAGCACAGCTCTACTCTGACACACACATGGTTGCCACAACTTGGAATTGGCTTGGCAGACAACTGATAAGTTCACAGATAAGATAATGATGTACAGAGAGAGCAAGTCATTTCATCTAAGTCACACAGATACTAAGCAGTAAAGTCAGGATTTCAACCCATTCACAGTCCTACTCAGAAACTCTGCTACAGCTGAGGAGGGATTTCTAGTGTGGTTTCCTGTGGCCATTCAATGTCCAGGCATTCGGCTCCGAATGTGTGCCGTGGCCTGGCCCTTAAAAATGGTGGTTGGAAGTAAAGCCCTCATCTTCTCTTTCTCCTAGGAAGAAAAGGAAAAGCTGGCAAGGGTTTTCAGGATTGGGGTCTGGGAACCATCAGGAAGCTAACTTAGGCTTTTGAGGAGCTCCCAGCTCCGAGGCTGTACTGAGGAGACAGGATTCTAGGAGGGGAGTGGAGAAAACCATGTAATGATAATCTCCCTTCCAGATCTCCAACCAGAAGTTCTCAGTTGCAGCACTGTTCCCATGATGGCTCTTTGTTGTGAGGGCCATCCTGGATACTGGAGGATGTTTAGCAACATACCCAACTAGATATAAGCATGCACCTCTCCCCAGCCCCACAAATGTCTCCAAACATTGCAAAATGTGCCCTGGGGGTGAAACCGTCCCCAGCTGAGAACCACTACCTCAGACCAAGGCTTTAAAAGTTGGAGTGAACTCAGTTAGAGGCAGAGATGATGTTGGTTCCATGGATACTGAGTGAGAGGGAGTAAGGAACTGATCATGAGAGGGCAACAAGTCTGGAGCAGGCTCAACCCAGCTAGGTACAGGAACCTGGATAGGTAGTGAGAGTGGGAAGGGGATTTCGGACTCCTTAAGAAGGGGGTCAGCACAGAGGCGGTACCAAGTGCGGTGATGAAGGTGGAAGGCTACCTATTCCACTTGGCGCCAACACCTCCTCCAGAACTGCGTGCCGTGGGTGTGACTCACCTGCTCTGGCTGCCTCATGCCCCTCAGGCAGATGTGTCTCCAGTGTGACTTGCCCCAGGAAGCCTGGGCAGACCCTCCCCCGCAGAACTTCCCTGGAGGATGGGGGAAGAGGGACTGGGGCAGTGAGAGGAAGAGACAGTGTGGTTTGTCGGTAATGTTAGTGGGATGAACCACATTGGAGATTCCTAGAGAGGCTGAGGGTGAGCCAGTCAATTCATGGGTGTTGGAGGCTATTGCATCTTCTTACAAGGGGTCTTGGACTCTACTGGCTAGACCTGCTGGGAGCAGGGGGAGGGTGGTAGAGAGCTGCTGGTTTATTCCTTCACACATTCATCAAGTATTTCTTTGAGGACTGGTGTATGCCACACATAGAGTTGTATAGTGAACCAGCCGGCATGGTCGCTGTCCTCTGACAACCCTACCCTCGGGGGGAGTTCTAGCAGAGATTAGATGCCATTCTTGGGGTGGGGAATGGAGACTTCAGAACGGACTTTGTCATGGGGTTGGGGGAGCTGGACTGGGCTGTTTCTAAGATCCTCTCTGGCTCATGGTTAGCACAGCTGTGTGCTCAGACTGTGGGGCCAACAGGAGAAAGGGCAGTGGGCATGGTGGCTAAGTCCTGCCTCTGTTGCTTACCTGACTTTATAGACTTGGTAAAATCACTTCCCCTAGCTGAGCCTCTGTCTCTTTATCTCTAGAAAGGAGGTAATAACAACATCAACAATGATACACCACTCACTGTATTCATCACTTTACAAACGTTAACTAATTCTCACCATGAGTACAGTATTGTCCCCATTTTACAGAGGAGGAAACTAAAGCACTGAGAGATTAAATAATTTGGCCAAGGGCATGCAGCCAGTGAGTGGTAGAGCCAGGATGTCATGCAAGTCATTTGGCCTTTACTTTAAAGGCCTTTTGCTGTTGTTGTTGTTAGGTGCCATCGAGTTGGTACTGACCCATAGAGACCCTATGCACAACAGAACGAAACACTGCCCAGTCCTGTGCCAACCTCACAATCATTGCTATGCCTGAGCCCATCGCTGCCACCATTGTGCCAATGCATCTCATTGGGGGTCTTCCTCTTTTTCTCTGACCCTCCACTTTACCAAACATGATATCCTTCTCCAGGGACTAGTCCCTTCTGACAATATGTCCAAAGTATGAGAGATGAAGTTTGGCCATCCTGGCTTCCAAGGAGCACTCTGGCTACACTTCTTCCAACATAAATCTGTTTGTTCTTTTGGCAGCCCGTGGTACTTTCAATATTCTCCTCCAACACCATAACTCAAGTGTACCAATTCTTCTATGGACTCTTGGGGGCGTGGGGGGGTATTAAATGAGATTGTGCATGTAAAATAGGTAGCCAGTGCCTAGATTGTAGCAAGCATTCACTTACAAAAACTGTCACCATTATTGACAATTAACGTCATCCTCATCATTATCTGAAGCTTCCATTGTGGACTTGGGACAACGTCAAGCAGACCTAAAGCTGTTGTACACAAGGAGGCTGGGGAACAATCTCTGAGCCATACTTGGAGAAAAGAGAAATTAGTGTAGGTTGAGCAGGGCAGGCTTCCTGGAGGAGGGGCACCGATCAGAACCTTGAAGGATGAGCACAGGCAAGACCTCTCTATCCATGGTGGTGAATTAAACTCTATCTCCAAGTCTTTGAATAAGTTGGAAATGGCCCAGGCTTTGGACAAGGTCTTTTTTTCCCTCTAAGCAGGGAAGCTGAGGGTGGAGGAGAGAGAAGGAAGGACAATCCATGTGTACATGGAGCCAGGCGCTGGGCAACTGTGTCTTCTTTACTCCTCACTGCAACCAGAGACTCAGATTCTAGCCTCCATTTTACAGATGGAAAAAGAGAGGCTCAGAAGGGTGGTGGCTTGCTAACTTCCTCTCCTACAAGGCAAAGCTGGGATTTGAACCCAGATCTCACCAAGTGTGGTCCCTTCTCTTCCACTAGTTCTTTCTCGATGCACAAACATCAGAATGATTTTCAAACTTCAGGGCAACATCTTGGAGTGGGAGGAAAGCTGGTTTGAATCTTATCGACATAACTTCAGGTGGTGGGGTTCACCCCCAGGGACAAAGTCAGTGGTGAAAACAGTAAGGAGATGGGAACCAAGTCGCACAGGGATCTTGGAAATCCTCTTGGATGTTGTCAGGCTGTGGTTGCCTTCAGTTCATATGGGGTCCTTGGAGCCACTTACCACTGGGATTTATTACAAGGTGGGCATGGGAAGTTGTTCCCAGGGGGATACAGTGTTGGAATCTGTGGGATCTTGAACAACCACACTAGGTCAGTCATATCCAAACACCAGTTGTTGAGTGGATTCTTACTCTTGGTGACCCCTTGTACGTAAGAGTAGAACTGTATTCTACCTTGTATTCTAAGTGGGGTTTTCTGTGACTGAATTTTTATAAGTAGAGCACCAGGACTTTCTTCTGAAGTGCCTTTAAATGGACTCAAATGTCAAGGCCTTTAATGTTCCAGCCAAGAGCATTAACCATTTGCTCTACCCAGGGACTTAACTCCTTTATTATCTAGATGGGGAAACTGAGTCCTAGAACATTACTTGATTTGCTTGGGGGTGGGGGTGGGGGGAGTGGCCTGCTAACTACCTCTCCTACAAGGCAAAGCTGGGAACGATTAGGGGCAGAACTAGAAACCAGGTCTTCCTAGTTACATCAGTGTTCCCTGACTAGTGGTGAAGGAGAAACTGAGTCTCAGAAGGTGCTGACTTAGCCAGATTGAGGGAGGGGGGCACTGTCTGGTGAGGCTGGTGGAGCTCCAGATACTCCAGATGTTCCCAGATGCACAGCTAGGTGGGCCCACTCTCAGGAGACCTCTCTAGAAGGTAGTTTTCTGCACACAAATGAGAGGGGCCTGATCTGATTGGCTGCCAGGCAAAGACACCCCCCCCACACACAATCCTGAGGGTGGCTGAGTGCCCTCGAGCCCCTTCCTGAGAGCAACACAGGTGCCTCCAAGAGGGGCTAACCTTGGCCTTGGAGGTGCATATCTCACCCCCTTTGGACTGGCCCCAAGGAACAGCTCTTGACAAAGGTGGAAAACAGGAAGTCTCTCCATGAAGACATATTGGCCAGGTCTTGGGGCAGTGGGTGGCTGACATCAGCTTCCCTTGTTGAGGACCCCTCCTTTAGCAGATGCATCTTAAGGGACCACACTTGACAATGAGCCACCAAGCCTCCTCTTCTCCAGTTGATAGATTTTCAATCCTGGGAGATTAAAAAAAAAATACATTGATGCCCAGGTACCATCTTTAGAGAGGCCCGATTCCATTGGCCGGTTGTGGCACCCCAGTGTGGCTAGTTTTCCAAGCTCATTCCACAGGGTATGAATATGCAGTTAGCGTTGAAACCACTGCTCTCATTGGAAGGGCAAACACCCATGTCCCTCCATGCTTAGCACAGGCTGCCCTGTGGAGTAGAAAT